TTGACAAATTAAATAAATAATATATTGAATATCCACAAATGTTTATTATTATTTACAATATAATAATTAATTAATTAACTTTTTCATCTCAACATCTGTAGTCTGAAAATGTAATCTAATGATAACAGTATTGGGTGAAGTAATATCACTAACTGCCACCTCACAGCCCTCCTTCAATCCTAATTCAGATAATGTTTTATTCAGATTTTCCCTAGTCCTTTCCTCTATACTTTTGATACTTGAAATATACAAAGTCCTATTTTTTCCATCAATGGTTGTTATCAGTCCAGGACTTCTCATTTGATACCTAGAATCCTCCTGCAGTATCTGTATCAGATCTTTTAGCTTTGCCTCCTCAGGATCCTTTATTACAACAGTCTGAGGAATTTGAGAGCATGCCAGACAGTTCTCCTTCTTCTCAGACTCATAGGTATAAGTGTAAATCCCATCAACATCATTAAACACTAAAAAATTGTTTAATGGCACATAACAACTTGTGGCCAACTTAAAAACCTGTAAAAATACAAGAATTAGAGTTGAATTGAATAGTAAAAAAAGGAGACAAACCTCAGTGGCACAAATAGCTGCTATGACAGCATTAGTAGATGCCACAGCTGGAATTATGTTCTTGACAACCCCCTGCACTAAGCGGTAGGTCACTCCTGTGATATTAAACTGTTGAGCTCTTTCCAGAGACTTCTCATGAACCCAGTTAATGTGATGGGGATCATCTCCATCTAGGGCTGTTCCCCAGGGATTTTCTTTAGGCCATTGCACAACTTTAACATACTCAATGCAATGCTCAGGCAATCTGGGTGTGTTGGCTATTGTACAGAGTGGATATGTAACTTGGGGAGGATATAAATCTAATGTACATTCTACACAGGCTGTCATTCCAGGGAGAATCACTCGAGCATTGCCTTTAAAACCTTCAGTACCTGAAATAAAAACAATATTACAAATGTTTCTTTAGTCTAAATGAAAATTAAATACCTCCATCAATCAGAGGAATAATGCTGGACTGATCTAGTACATCATCATTGTAATTTAACATGGATATTAACATTCCATTTATCCACCTTCTGGCCACTATGGAATCCAAACCGCACACTATTATGTGAAACTGACGGTAAAAGTTTGCATCAAAATCTTGTATTTTTTTGAAATAAGCCGTTACTTGACACCCCTTAACTCTACTATTAACAAATTTGGCTGCCACTTCAGCCTTTGGAAAACCAATGTCTTTGTGTCTAAATAAGAATTGTCTATTCAAATTGGATATTTCAATGGTGTCCATGTCGATAACATGAATGTCTCTGAACCCCATCAGGGCCAGATCTTTCAATAATTCACAGCCAAGACCACCTGCACCGATGACTAGAATCTTGCATGTGTTCATTAAAAAATTGATTATTTCTAAAGAAGGCTCAAAATCAGGATGACTAAAGGGACCTGGCCTTTCTAAAATTTTACGAAGATTATTCCAACGGTTTGATAATGTCTCTAGTTTCTCAGACATCTTCTGTAAATCCAGAAAGAAGCGGTGTGTTTAATAAGAAACCTCTCCAATATTTGACGGTTAACTGTGCCGAAAGGTGTTGATAACAAAACTTTTCACAGGTACTTTGAAATCATTTTATTAAAAATTCTCAAATTTGTTTAAATTAAATGCAAAATTAATGAAAACTCGTTGAAATCATTTAAATAACCTACAAACCAACAACTGACACTGACAGGTGCATGATAATTGCAGATTCGTTTAGCCATTTTTAGGAAAGCTTTTTATCTTCTTTTTACGCATTTTTATAAAGGCGCGCACATAAATTTGAATTTGAACACGCAAAATTTAAAGTCCCTTAAAGTACTTTCAACTAATAAAATAACGACCAATTACTTTTTTAAATGGTTTATACCGAATATATGTGCGAATTTGTGACAATAAGTAACAATATTAAGAACGTGTAGGAATTTGCGTTATTTACTTATTAGATTAGCGCACTTATGAACTATTTATAAATATGACGCGCTAAAGAGTATGAATTAATTAAAATGCTGATGTTAATAAAACAATCATGTAATTTATCTTCATGTGGCAAGACAGAGATAGAGCGCCAACGCTAAAAGATAAAGACAGCATAATAAGGTTGTCGATTTTGTAAGGACGTACACACCAGGCGCTTTGTGGCTTTTATTATTTTATAAATAAAATCGAACAAAAATATGATTTGTGAACGTGAAGTGTCCGTCAAAGAGATCGTTTTTTCGCAAAAAAGTGAAAAAGTTATTAATTCGATCGTAGATGTACGTTCTTGTTATAAACCAGCGAATAGGGTAAGATCGATTACAAAACGTACTCTTAATAATTATTTCCGCTTGTCCCGCTCTGCCGCTTCAGTTCTTTGTGTGGTTTCTACGTGACAAAAAAAAAATAGAACACGTCTTTTTAATGTTTATTCTTATTTCATTAGGAGATACATCGATTAACCAGTAGGAATGATTTTTTTATTCCATAGTTATGAATAAAACCCATACACCACGTATGTATGTTATAAGGTGTTCGTTTGTAGAATAAAATCACTCTTATCAATCAATCACACTGAGATAAGACCTTTAATCGCACTTTGAAACAAACAGTTCGCATCAAATACTCCAATTTTATTACATTTTTTTTTCTGTACACATTATTTATAAAATAATGTACAATCAACCGCAAGGAAAATGTGACTAAAGGTTTCAGTGTGCGATTCTTTTTTGTTATCGTATCTACAATTGTACACAACAATTGTCGACATTCTTTTTTTCTATTAAAGATGCGCACTTTCACCTTCTTATTTTTCAATTTTACACATTAGTTTTGTTCTCGTACCATTCCTCAACTAAAAGGAAAGGATGTTTCTCTCATTATCAGAAAAATAATCTGATTTATAGCGTTCTCAAACTGTAATTGACTGTAAAACTTTAAATTAATCTGTTATCGAAGATGCAATTAAGCGAAGAAATTAACGATTAAAATAAATGTCCCAATTTTTTGGACTTTCCCCTACTTAGATGTTGCTTTTTTTTCAGTAAGATTGAAATTCAGTTTACTTTAGTATCTTCGTCCAATGTCTTATTCATATGTATGAAGTCTGTCATCTAGTTAATTTATTTCTGTCCATCTGTATAAGTCAATTTCCATTTGGTATAATGAGCTTTCACAAATGCAGATTATTTGGTAATTGTGTCGCAAAACTAGGATGTTGCTCCGTGAATGCGATTTTTTTTCATTGAATTTCTATGTATAGGTACCTACTGTATTTATTAATAATAAAAGCAATCAAAAATACAATGGCTTTAAATGGGGTCACGCAAAAAATAATTATTATTCGCGATGAGTTTAATTATTGTTTTAATTCCGGTCCTTGGTAATTTCCTTCCGGTAGTACCCAATCGTGCGATCGTCCAAATCTTGATCAACTTTTAATCCCGAACACGATCGACGATCTACTACCTGATAAATTTCCCCCTCTTCAAGACTGTAGCAGCAGTTTCTGATTATTTAATTCATTTGTTTATTATGACCATTGCAATTATTCCTATCGAAAGGAGTTCCACGGGCTATCGAGATCTCAATGAACAATAAAATTGTAGTTTCTTGCCGGTCGTTGTTAGTGTGTTGTTTGCTGATAGCGTGTTTTTGTTTCTTTCGGTTTTCTTTTTTTTTTATTATCAGCACGATAAGTTAGTTAGTAATGCATTATTGGAAATTCCGTTTTGTTCACTTTATTATTTTTTTCTGTTAATGTAATAATTGTTATTTTGCGCTACACCAGCCAATTGTTTTTTTTTTTTATGTAATAGCATCCACATACATTAACTGACGATGAGTGCTACTATATGTAATAATATAATAGTGTAGAGAAGTGATTTTCTTTTTTTTTTTTTCTTTTACTTTTATTAAGTGTTACAAGTTTAGAGTTAGAGCTGGCGAAAAAATTCTTTCAGTTTTGTTCGTGATTGTACCATTGCCTTTGTTGCATGCGTTTACCTGGTTGTTATTAGAAGGATATTCACTGAAAACCAACAAGAAAAATGAAGAATGTCCAGGTAAGATGGATTTTGGGGATGAACGGTGTTCTTAACGCTTTTGTGCATGTTATGAGGGGAGTTGGGTGGTTAAAGTTTAGATACTAATAAAATTAACCAAATAATGTTTTTCTGTTACCGTTTTGATTCTAATTTAGGTTCTGTAATTAATATCTAACGATAAGTATACGTATGTATGTACATAGCAATTAATTCATGTACTGTAAACGCAAAAATTTACGAATCGTCCAGAAGTAACGGTTTAAATGAATTTAATGAATAAATTAATAGTTAGAAAGGAACGATTACATTTTATTTATGCCTAAATTTTTGCTTTGCTTACCAATATTGACAAGATTAACATTATCAGTTCAATTAACAAATATTTGGTCACCGTTTGAATAGATATTAAAATTTTTGTGACTTTTGCATACATCAGTTTGTACAATAATACAATAATCAAATATTATAAAACTGTTTATGTAAACTTTTGTTGTATGAACAGGTAAATATATTCAAATTTGGGCCCCTTCTTTCAATTGTTTTTATACTAACAGTAGTGCCTATTGAAAAATGTTCCTACATCTACTAAAACAATTGATTAAACTAACACTATTTTACATTTGTTTTTCTTTTGCGACTTGGATAAACAAACGAAAGACAACTTGTAAAATTATTGTATCATTTGTACAGCTATGGTTCAAAGGGGTGAGAAGTTCAAAGTTTCGTCACGTTTATGGGGAACCAGCCAAAAGGGAGAAATGTTACGAGAATGTAAAAATAACGAAAAATGCCCACGACTCCCAATTTTGTGCTGTAAACCCGAAATTTTTAGCTGTTGTTACTGAAGTTGCTGGAGGTGGGGCATTTGTAGTCCTACCTTTAGACCATGTAAGTTTTTTTTGTTTTTTTTTATTTGTGATTAACTGGTGCTTTCTAATCAAATACGTAACCTGTTGTGGCAATAATTACAATAGTTTCAGTTAAAAATAAATATTAAATAGATGAATAAAAAATTAGAAAAAAGTGTTATATAATTTCAATGTTCAGTGAACGTTTTGTCTCACCTGTAATCTACAGAAGGTACAGTGTACTGTAGTTATTTTTGGAGTTTTTTCACTTACGCAAGCTACGGTAAAAAAATTTAAATGTCATGAACTGTAACAACCAAAAATAAGTACAAACTAATTGTTCAATTAACAATCAACAGTAAGTAACGTTAAAGATACCTCTCAATTATTATTGTTACTTTTGATACTAAACTATTTCTAAATCCTGTAGGAGCTCATACTTATTTTTGTTATTATTGTTAATTATTGTTACATTAATATTCTAATAGTATAAAGATAATTTAAGGTCAAATCAAACATGAGCAACTAATTAATTAAGTAAATAGCGCACGTATAATTAATATCGATGAATAAAATTGATTAATTTAGACAGGGAGGCTAGATTATAACGCATACCGAGTGACGGGTCACAAAGGACCCGTTTTAGACATTAAATGGAACCCGTTCGATGATAACGTAATCGCTTCGTGTTCCGACGATTGCACTGTAAGTTGTTTCACTTAATTACGAATACATTTTTATTGTCAATAACTGAAACGTAATTATTAGGTAAAGTTGTGGAGAATACCGGATGGTGGTCTATCCTACCATTTAACCAATTGGATTGTAGAACTTGTTGGACATAAAAGAAGGGTTGCCTACATAGAATGGCACCCCACTGTCGAAAATGTACTTTTTAGTGCAAGTTTTGACCATTTGGTGAGTACCAAAAAACATTTTTATAATCCACTAGGGTTTACCCGCAGCTTCGCTCTCGTTGATGCCCTAAATACCTACATATCAAAGATCATTGATAACCACATAAAACTAATTTTTATATCCCTTCTTTTAAAAAAAAATTTTACAACCAATAAAGTATTGAATTAAAAAATCTGGTACAACTAAGTATTATAATAGTACATAGTTTTTCGTATTATTACACGTAAATGTTTGTAATTATACAGAATAAGGCTAATTTATCCAATTAATAGTACGAGTGAGCAGATTACATGGTTACCATTGGTAAATTGTTCATTATCTATAAAAATCTAATGAATATTAACTAACAGTTAGGTACATGCATGATGCATAAACCGAAGAAAGTTTTGTTTCTAATAGCTATCGCATTGCATATGTGGAACGTATTTCGAGGCTTTCGCAGATGACTCCAGCCCATTAGACAAAAAACAGTGCAAGTTTTCAGTACAAATAAGCGTAATAAATTGCGAGAGAGTTTCTTCGCCAAATAGCAAATAATTTCTTTTTATTCGTGTCATCCAACAAATTTGGTATATTGGTTTCAGTTTCTAATGAAAGATTGACGATCGACAATTTTAAATTATCATCACTTTTACTTGACGTTTCTTACAATTTATGCACATTAAAATAAGGAAAAAAATATTTTCAAATGGCAATGAAAGTTTATACGTGTACAAAGGTATGTGTGTGTGTGTTTGTACGAATGTACTAGAATCTAATGGTTTCGCATTAATCTGAATTAATTCGCTTTTTCTTCATTTCTTTCTCTTTCGCATTGGTTTTCACCCGAGTTTGTTATTATTAAATCTTGCCGACCTTAAGCTTTCTATCTGTGTTACTGGCCGAATGAAAATATCCGCGACTTTAAAGTGCAACGCAAGTTTCACTTTTCCTTTTAACTAATAACAAACACCTGTTTTTGATGCAATTAAAACTAATGCAATTTCTCCCCGATATTTCAAAAATTATTAATTAATGTTAATTACGCTACAGCGAGCTGTTGCATTTCCGCATTACGTCCAAGCGTAGTAATTGATGACCTTTAATTACCCAAACTGTCGAAAACAGCGAAAGGAATTTGGTACCTTCAGGCCTGATCGTGTCAGAAAAACATTCCAAAATATTTAAAACAATGATTTAAAACAAAAGAAGCACATGGTCGTCTTTTGTTCTCAACGTATCGAATAAAGTGTTTTTATTTATAATTAGGTGATAGTATGGAATGTAGAGAAGGGGGAAGCCCTGAACGTTTTGGACTGTCACCCCGACGTAATTTATTGCATGTCCTTAAACCGGGATGGCAGCTTATTGGCTACGACATGCAAAGATAAGAAATTAAGAGTTATAGAACCGAGAACAGGCATTGTAAAATCTGTAAGTGGATATTTCAGACATGCTGTGAAAATGGTTAGAAAATTGATACCATTTTCAGGAGGGCGTATGCCATTTAGGTTCAAAGGCCAGCAAGGTGGTTTTCCTAGGGTCAACCGATCGTCTGTTGTCCACAGGATTTTCGCGACATTCTGACAGGCAATACGCCATATGGGACCAAAACGATCTCTCGACCCCGCTGACCACGGACACAATAGACAGTTCGTCAGGGGTCGTCTTTCCCTTTTTTGACCCCGACACCAACATATTGTTTTTAGCGGGGAAAGGCGACGGTAACATACGCTATTACGAAATCGTCCCCGATCCCCCCTACATCCACTATTTGAGCCAGTTTCTATCAGGAAATCCTCAGGTAATTCGTCCAATTAAAATCACTTTTTTATCATCAATTATTGTCCTATTTAGAGGGGTTTGGGTTTTATGCCGAAACGCGGTTTAAACACGAGCCAATGCGAAGTGTTTCGCTTTTACAAATTGCACACCATCAGGGACTTGTGCGAACCAATAAGCATGATAGTACCAAGAAAAAGTGACCAATTCCATGACGATCTCTACCCCGACACGGCGGCTCCGCAGCCGTCCCTTTCGGCCCAGGAATGGGCCTCTGGGCGAAACGCGGCGCCCATTTTAATGCCCATGAAAGCAGGTAGAAGACAAATTTTAGTCGATTAATCGTCGATAAATCTTTAAAATTTCGAAGGGAGCCAAACGCAGGTGCCGATTCAAAGACCCAGGGTCAACAAACAACCCCAACCCGTCGTGGCTTCCATGGAGAATAACAAAAGGAAAATGGCGTTTCTTCAAACCGAAACCATTCCAGATTATAGACCGAAGGACCAGATTATGGAGAAAAGCCAAAAAACCACGACCAACCAGAATACCAAGTTTCAACAACTTCAAGAGAAATTCCAGGGATTCGTCAACAATAAAAGTAGCACAGAAGAATTGCATTACATTAAAAATTACTCCAACGTTGATAATATTAACGTTGAAGAGGTAAAAGCGTCTTGGGTGCCCAAAAATGGCACTCACCTACATAAATGGCGTAGTGACATACAACGTTTTTTTTTTTTTTATTTTTCAGTTAAAACGGGCGTACTTACGTCAAATGGAAGAAATACGACTGTTGAAGAAGCAACTGTCGAACAGCGAAATGAAAGTAAAAGAACTCGAGGAACAAATTAAAAGGCTACAGGGACACCAAATTCACTCATAGCTTTTTAATTAAATAAACTGACGAACATCTCTTGCTTACTTTCAGCGTATTTTGTTATTGTACATTATCATTTTTTTTTTTATTATTGTGATCTACGAATATACATAAATATTGTTATATTATTTTTTTCTGTTAAGCTCTAGGTAAGTGCTCGAAAATTTGCATAGGGACTGAAGAAGAAAATCGGACGCTCTCAAAACAGGTAACGAATTATTATTACGAAAAATATGTGCAATTTGATTTTGATTGATTACCGTTCGCTTTAAATCACTTAACTGATAGCTTCAAAACGCATAAAATATAACTACCCAAAAACAAATGCTTTCTAAACAAAAAAAAAAGTTAAAAACAATTGGTGTACTGCTTATAATTAGAGCCGAATTTACTCCTCATCAATTTTTGTGCCATTAAGTACGAAGAAAGTCAAACAAACAAACGTGAACTTTTAACATAATTATAATATGTACCCAGATTATTTGTACATCCTCCAATATTATACGTATTTTTATAAAACTAAAACTTTAAAATTCCATTCAAACATATCTTAATATATGTAGCAATATTATTAATGTTTAAAAATCCCTTTAGTTGTATGATAGTTTCCCCTTTAGAACACAATGTGATAATTTTTACCACAAATATGTCCAAAATTTTAATTAGAATATACACGACACGATTTAGTACAGTATTAAAACAAAAAAAATGTATTCGTACGTTAGTTCATAATTTTTGTTAAGACAGAATAGACTTTTATAAACAAATTTATATAAATGAAACTCATAACGCAATAAAATTTACAAGTGCGAACAAATGCACTTCGTATAATGGTGTTCATTTTTGTTAGAAAAAAAGATGCCTAATGTTGTGCTCATTATACAAGGCTTTGTTTTTAAACAACTGAACTAAAACAAAGGAATAAAAATATAAACATCGAGATCATCATTGTTGTTGTAAACAAACGAAGGGAAAAAATTAAACATCGAAGTAATTCCCCCCTTGGTTCAGTTATTTTTTGACAATTCCTTGGATAAATCGTTTTTATTTTATTTTTTATTAAAACAAAATGAATGACTTTATGTATTCTATTGTGTAATCCACAGTCGTTGTTTTAAAATACATATTAAAAGAATCAGTACGTGATAGAAGTAAGTATTAAATGAAATTAATTATATTTTTGCTAAGCTTAGGCGGAAATGTGTATGTTGTATCAGATTATCCACTGCATTTAATGTGAACCAATTGAAAAGGCGCTAATAAATAAAATACATATAATAAGTAAGTGTTTGTTGCTTTTACCCTCTCGAATATTTGAAACAACTGTTAGGTTTTCTCATTTGTTTTTATTAAAAATATCGTATAAAAACATTAATATTTGTACTTTTTTATTTTGGTTAAATGAATATATCTAAAATCTAATTGTCTATAGTATAAATTTCACAAACTGTTTATTAAAAAATACGTAGAATGGATACTTACAACAAAAAGAAAGACGACCATGTGAGTATTATAAAAATAAAATTAAAAAACTACAAGAATGAATTCGAAATTGATTTTCTTCACTGACGAAATACGAAATTACAAACAAAAGAAAAAGCTAGGAGTAAAAACAGCAAAGTTTGGCTAAGTTTAAAAGTTGTTGCGGGATTGCAACCATCCCCAGTGCAGGTATACACGCATGTTCGGTAAGTTAATGTGTCACCTGGTTGTTTAACGTAATTACAGTAATTTCCTAAATCGAGGGATGAACAAAATCGTTTGGTCCCTACTCCTCCTAAAAATACATATAAAATTTATTACTTTTAAACGCTAATATTTACAGTTTTAGTACACAAAACAATTCACACACCAGGAAAGCGAGTTAGAAGTAATAAGTTAGGGGGGGTGAAACGGTATAAAATCCCATGCCATTTTCTACACTCCCAACTATATAATAAAGGAGGCAAATATTGTTATCATATTATTCAATTATTTATTAATCTAAAATCGATTTTAATACGACAATAAATTAATAAGGAAAAAACCTGAACCAAAAAAAAAACAAAAGAATAAAGCGTGCGAGATTGCGGTAAATGTTTTTTTTTTGTTAGTGTTGGTGTTCAAAATCTTTTACTACAGTTCGTGCACACTCAAAATTATCAGTTACCCTCCAAAGTTATCGCTTTAACGCAATATTCAGCTCC